AATGAGAATTTGTGAAAAATAAGAGGAAGTTTTTATTATACTAATGAAAATTTATTTGTAACAATAATTGTACTAAATGAAAATGACGTCAAAATTTTTTCCTATATTATTTCAACATCTTTCTTCAACAAACAGTTAAAATGAACCTTTCATTTTATAGTCACACACTATCTGATATATAAAATTAGTCATTTCAGATGATTTGGTGTAAAAGTTTGATTATCAAGAAAAAAAAAGCTTTCAAAAAGTCTTAGTTAGAAATGAATGGCAAGGCTTTCTTATTTCTAGCATTAAAAATTATTTGACACATTTTTTTTCCCAATCATTATCATAACAATTTTATAATTAAATTATGTTTGCACGTTTAACGAATTTTCAAATTTTTAATTTTTCCACTTAAAAATATTTTGATATCAAAGCAGAAAATGAAACTAATATTTGAATCGTTTCACATTATAATGAAAATATTAAAATGAACTTTTTATTTAAAACAAAATACAAAAAAAAAGGAATGACAAAAATGTTAATGGGCAATCATAATTTCCATTCATTTCTATCAGTATCAATGTACAATTCTATCGTTTGCCATTTACTACCATAGGAATAATTGCGGGAGAAGAAGAAAAAGTCGGGTCGATTTCTTTTGAGATTTAATGATCAGTAGAAATTTTCATCTTTTTTTTGTAACCTTAACTGTGAGAAATAAATAATTTCCCTATTTTCTCTTTTTTTCTTATTATATCTTAAAAGCATTGAGAAAATATGAAAGTTTTAATGTTCATATTCATAGATGCATATAAAAATATATTTAATAAATTCTCGAATTGCCATTTATCTATTTATATCAATCAATCAGTACAAAAGACATCTTCAAAGTCATTAATTAGAAACTGATTGAATTTACATCTCGATAAAGGATTATATTAATTTTTTAAATAATTTTTATCAATTATCATATCCTTCAGTAATGTTACTACAGGAGAATGATTCATTCATTTCATACTTTACTTTTCCATCAAAAATTCCTCTTTTTTTCTACATTATCATTGCCGTAATCAAATGAGATAGATAAATGTTGCAAATTTTAATTTTATCTTCCCGTAAAATACAGGAAGTGAACTTATTTGTAAACCAATTCACTTTCACATACTCCATTCAGTAATGAATTTTATCAAAGTTTTTTTTATCATTTATTGAAAAATTCATCCATCATTTGTTTTTAACTATGAATGAACGGAACTCTTTTGTTATCATTAATAAATCCATCCAAATCAAATCCACTGCCTAATTAATTGACCTCAAAACATCAATTGGATAAACATTACTTGTTACTTCATTAATAACTTGAACATGACATGGAGTAGGTTTATTACGTGCTAAGCATAGTGAAACATTACATAAAGTTTAATGATCGTCACGTCAAGTTTCGTCATATCAAGTTTTTTTCTACTCCACGTCCAAGTTTAGTTCCCTTTCAATACCTTATTTCATTTCGTGTTTCAAATCACTTTATAAACTTTATTATCTGAACCTCGTATCTAACAGTTGTAGAAATACAAAATTTGTGTATAATAAATTTGAAATCATTTAAATGACCAATTCACTTGCTGTACATTACTTCATCTTTAACTTAGTTGCATATGACACGTGTGGTACCATAAATGCTTATAATAGTAATACTGAATTTAGGCTATGTTGTTATTAATTTCTCTGAAATATTAAAAAACTGATGAAACAAGATGTAGTGTGAAGCTTAAATTCCAGCAGTGTTTGATGATTATTTAGAGAAAAAAAAACTTTTATCATCAATTATATTGAAAAGAATAATATATTTAACAAATTTAATTGAAATCATCCATTTGAAAATAGCGGATAAAAAAAAAACAAACAGCAAAATGTCAGTATTAGTTTCTACCTGTGCTTCAAGTTATATGAAGCTTAACCCATGCATTTACGCATCAGGTGATACATTTGCGCATCACTAATTTTTGTATAATAATAATTGAAATTTTAAAATTGATTTGTTAAAAATAAAATAATGAAATTGAAGGTTGAAAAAGAATTTCAGTAAAAATTAGAAATAAATGAATTGGGAACAAACAAGGAAGAAAATATACTCGGCAGTATCTATTCTTGGAAGGACTACGATTGTCATCCCCTCACCTTGTTCCAAGGTCATTTTTTCGATCATATTCCCATACATTTTACAACACTAGGTAATCATTATCGATATTTTCCCAGAAAAAAAAGTAATTTTTTTGGCAAGAAAAAAATTTCGATAAATTTATCCAACTAGAAAATAGGAATAAATATTCATCAATAAATCGAATTAGAAACGACCAGTACTTGTAGTTTCAATAACTTCTTGTCAGTACAAAACAACAGTTACGCAGTTCAAAATTACTTTTCACGGTATATCACATCAAAAAATAATTGAGAATTAGTTATCGTAGCTCTTTGTAGACAATATATGGAATGAATTAACTCTGGGTTATTGTAATAAAAGTAGCACTTTTTTCTAAACCTCATAATATCTCAATCTGAACTGTTGAAGGATTAACGCTGCAAGTTAAATTATAAAAAAAAAGGTATTAAAGGCTAAATATTGCTTGCAATTCCAAGGTGGAAATTCTAAAGTTTTGTTCGGTATGGAATTTTCATACAAACGCTATATCATTCTAAAAAAAGAATAACTTTTCTGATCAGTAAAATCGAAAAAGGTAGATGGTTTTAATCTGGGAGAGGAGTACCCAACCACCCAATCATATCATCATAATTCTTTCTAATGTCGTTACAGTATTAAGTATCCTATTGCTTTTTAATAATGGGTAAAAACTGCGAAAATCAGACAATATCAAGCAAAATTTATTTAAAGCAAGGCCATAAAAGGAAACCATTTCAAAGAAACCGCAGTCCGAATATGCACCGAATCTTATTAGGCATACTATGTAAAACACCAGAATTACTCAAAATAGTAAATATTATCGATGATTATGAACAAGAAATTAAAAAAAAAATGCAAAACAATTTAAATGTTCATTTCAACATATAGAATTATATGTCTACTAAGGTATAAGATATATGAGATACACATATTAGGGTAATTTATAACTACTTTTAATGCTCTTAATTGAATATGCTAGTCTACGTAATACATATAAATTACTAGGAAAAAAAATACAGAAACATAAACATGCATGTTATTATGCAAATACACGACAATAATTATCATCCGTCAGTGATTAAATGCTAGATAAGCTGAGATCAGCGATAATAACCACCCGATTCATTTAAGTAATACTGTACTTTTAAAAGCATTGATAATCGATTACTGTTTTATTTTTGCTTGGATGAAAGTTGATTATTTGGTCCAAGAAGCATGCTGTAGACGGCATACCAATGTAATGCTGCACCTAAAATGAAATATTTGCGTCTTGGGAAGCTATCCTTCAAGCAATTAATAAAATCCAAACAACCAAGCCCAAATGCTCTGATGACGATTTCAATCCAACTATATTATCAGGATATTAAAGATTTATTCAAATGTCTGAATGTTGTCCAGCGCTGTGACAGTTTGTTAACAATGAGTAGAAGTAATATCTCACATAATGATTCTCATATTAAACCGTATATAATTAGATATATAAATTAAGATCAGAAAAATGATATATAGTAAATTTGCACAGGATAGACTTACCAACAACAACATGAAGATGCCATACTGTATGTGCAAAAGGTATGATACCATCTGATTTAAAAAAAATGACGCCTATCGTGTAAACAATACCACCAGCTAGCATTAAAGTTAGATCACTTGGATCGCACTAAAATTTGACAAAAAAAAATCTTGGCAAACTTCATGGAATATTTTAAAACTCATTCATTTTTTCAAACGTCCTTAAAAAGGAATTAAACGTACCATACTGTATATAGCACTAAAAGGTACAACAGCAAAGGCAATATATAATAAAGTTTCCATTGTTTTAAATCTGAAATTGGTCTTCAAAAAATTAAAGTTTGAAAAAATGTTACTGCCATTTCAATATTAACTTCAGTGAATTTCACAAATTTTGAAAAATTTCTTCTAAGGAAAAAATAAAAGTCATCTAGAGAAAATTTTGAGAATAAGAGAAAAGAACGTTAAAAATGAAATGGTTAAGACGCTTTGTAGCAGTAAAAATGATTTGAAATTACCTTTCGTGAAACATACACTGATAGATAGTACCCAAAAAGGCAAACAACCAAACAAGCCAATTGAAATTAACTGTTGGAGATTCATAGTGTCTTAAGGTAAACCATGGCATGTATGAAGCAGCAATGAAAAAATAGATGGCGGCACGATCGACTATATGAAGGTAATAACGAAATTTCCTGAAAAAAGAATAAAAAGATATATTCCGAAAAAAGGAATCAGGAATTATTCATATCAAGTGAACAGAGAATTACGAAAAGCGGACATTTCAAGTCCAATATTATATCAATCTACTAGCAAAGCTGAAAAGAAAAACAAGCAGACAGAGTTTACTTTCAAAAATAAAATAGATTAGAGCGACTACTGATATAACATACTTTTTGTTGGGACGAAAAAGAAGTTCACATGTGTGGTAAGCTGTTGATGTTGTAAAAAGTACCTAAAACAATTTCAAATTTCACAGAAATAAGGTAAAATACCTTTGATCAATTGACAATCTATACCACTGGAATGAGCTAAAATATATGAATCTTAGAAAGTTTTAATATGGATGAACAGATGTCCAAAAGTATACCACAGTGAAAAAACAGTAAATTATAGACACATTTCGTTCTGACTCACGACATGACGCAGCGATTAACCACTGTGTTCCATATATGCTCGGAAGTATTGCTACCTGCATAGTTAAAGTCTTGAGAAAATTTACGAAAATAATGAAAAAATGAATAAAGATGTTGGCAGGTCTCGCAAATTGAAACCAATAATACAAAATAAGCAAGTTGAAAAAGATAAAAACAGTAATAAAAGGACTTTCAGCTCCTTCATTAGTCAATCCCACGAGTTACTGTCGGGATGCATCGATGCAATTTCATATTTCAACTCGCTTTATTTCAACTCATTTTCACGCCCTGAGGTGATGGGGAACAACACTTCAGTAATTTCGCTTGACTTTTCTGGGGGACTGCTGTCAAGCTACACTGAAAATGAGCAGCAAAAGCTTTCAGCGTAATCTGCATCAAGGACAAAATTTTTAATGAGAAACTTAAAATTAAAAAAGCCAGCTTACTCCGTGAGAGAGGATATTTGCAACATGCTCATATCGTGTCGGCACGTACGCTTCACCTCGAGAAGCCCTTTTATTCATGTAAGGACTAAAAAAGCACAGCATGACTAATTTTGCAATCATACGAATTCTTAGAATTGGATCACTAAAGACCTCTTCTCCCAGTCCTCATAACAGCTCAACAAGTCCAGCCTTTCATGTATGGAATTTTTAACCTTTTGAAAAAAATAATGACTTACCGATTTTAAAAGAAAATCGACAAGTCATTGAAATCTAATGTAAATGTAATTACTGGGAACTTATTTTTATCTACATTCGTATCATCAGTAATATTTCAGCGATAATAAATAATTCGAAGGACTGCTTAAATGATAATGTCACTACCATTGTATGGCACAACCTCATAATCGCAATGGGATAAAGAAAAAAGTCAATCAACCCGGAGAATTAGAATTAATGCTTTATAAATCGATTAAAATTTGTGAGAAAATTTTGAAAGATTTACCTGGAAACACCACTGATGTTCATAGCGTACGGACCGTTTATCTAGAAAGGGCCTGAGAAGCGCCCAAACTTCTCTGCAATACTCATATATATAATATACATATATATAATATATATAATATATATATATATATATATATATATATATATATATATACTATAT